CATTTGCTGGAATATGATTATAGTGATGCGCAGTATAAAAATATATGCTTAAACGTTTGCTTTTATTTAAAATGGTTTTGGTGTATGTTGGTGTACAAGCTATATTTATTTGTTGAGCATTTACTTAGATTTAATTTTTTTTATCATAGCATGGCATTTCATTATGCAACTGCAATAGATATTTCCAAAATTTGTTTTATTTTTTGAGTGAAATAGGAAATAACAAAAATTCCTTTCTGAAAGCTCCAAAAACTTTTGAAACATTATGATTTAAACCTCCAACATATTCCTTGATATTTTCTTATATACCAAATGTCTGTGGCGTTTTAGCTTCTTTAAGAAATCACAACCAAAGTCGAAGTTTTTTTTATAAAATGAGGTTATTTTTTTTCATCTAGGTAAGATAAATTGGTATAAGAAATTAATTGTATTGTATTTAGAGTTATCTTTAATCTTCTCTTTGGTGTCTTAGAAAGTAGATTATCACCAATTGTGGACCATTTTAAGAGAACACAAAGTGTTAAAAGGCCTCTCAGTCACTATACAATAAAGTAACAATTATGTTATATATATGAAAATAAAACTGTTGTATTATTAGATAGTTCTAGATGCTGTAACAAATTAGCAACAATATGTTGTAGATTTTATATTTTGTAATTTCATATGTTTATTTTCATGTTGCATGAAAATTTGGAAGAGATTTCATCATGCAGTACAATTTGTAATGAAATGTATTTATTATGAATGAATGCATATTTTCTTCTATTTGTGTGTGATTAAATATATGCATAGTGATGATTGAGGACCATTTATGTTTAAGTATTGTCAGAAATAGTAATCTCACACTGGTTAAGTAGAATAGTTGCTATGTTATGATATCATGTAAGCTAAATCAAGACAATTGAACTATGCATTAAAATGGGGAGTCTTATTCAATAAGTGATGAACACATTAAACTTTATTTAATGAGGTTTAAGATGATTTCATTTGTCGTATTTTGTCAGCAGAAGCCTTTGAGAATTGTTTTCTAGCACCTGTTTCACCTCAACTGATATTGCTTGGTCTTGTCTTCTCCTTTCCTCTACCATATTTTCTTCATCCCTTTCTTCTGTCTCATTCCTAAGGTGTGAAAGCCGTGCTGAAAGGATGAAAGGCTTTCTTTATGTTGGTCATGAATGGCCTCTAGGAGTGATGGGCCCGGTATTCCCTTGGTTAATTGCCTAGCCCTTACCCCTGATGAGGACCCTGAGGGTTAGACCATTTCTTTTCATTCAGGCTCACCATGACCAATAGTGAAGGTTCTTTACCCTTAATAGGGCCATTAAGGCTTACCTCTTCATCAACTAGCCTATCTGATTTTGATTTTGATGGTTTTCCGACACCTGCAACTCCTTTGACCACGGCTCCAACCACTGATATTAATACACCCTCCTTGACATTTAATGACATCTCTATCCATTCTGAACCACCCAACCAAGTTATTACTCAACCTCCAGAAAAGCCCCCTCCCTCTCTCCCAACATTCTCCTCTCTATCTCCTACTACATAGTGTTCTTCAATGACTACCCCCTCTATAGCTATCCCTACAAAAGATACACCCCATGCCATCCTATCGCCCTGTACCCTAAACCCTTTCCTTTATTAATGTCCGATTTAAATCATTTGCACCCTCTGTTTACCCTTTTTCCTAATCATACTATCCTATAACACTATAACCTTTGGCATTGAACACTCTTTATACTAATTGTAAACTCATTTACCCTTTTCACCACAATAAGTTACCATAGTGCTAAATGACCTTAGATGTCTAGCATATTTATTCAGCTATTAACCATTAACCATTCTAGCACCTGTTTGCTGCTGAGGATGTAAATTCTAGTTTAAAGTATGTTAAATTTTCAATAAGTAAATAAGTAAATGGATAGATAGATTACCAAATACATAAATGAATAAATAAGTGAATATATATATATATATATATATATATATATATATATATATATATATATATATATATATATTATATATTTTATATATATATATATATATATATATATATATATATATATATATATATATATATATATATATATATATATATATTTATATATATATATATTATAATATATATATATATATATATATATATATATATATATATATATATATATATATATATATATATATATATATATATATATATATATATATATATATATATATATATATATATATATATATATGTATACAGTGCACGTCAGGAATCTTGGCGCGAGAGGGACCGTGCCAAGATTTTTGACGTTTTTCGGTAATACCCTTCTAATATTATGCAAATCGACCTATAATCTTGACGCCCCGTCAGCTGATAGATTACTCATCTGACTCCAAATTGGCGGTTTCAGATATCACTCAATTACATCTGGGCAGTAACAGTGAGCAGAATTACAACATGCTTTTTTCGTGAATAGCCTAGTATTTTGCCTGAGTTCTGTTGCTGTTT